ATCACTCTGAAGTTTGAAATCAGTCTAAATCAGAGCTTCCTTTTCAAGTTACAACAGGCACAAGGAAAAGAGAATCCATGTCCTCCTGCCTTTGAAAGAAGCTGGGCATCTGTTTACAAGGTGGAAAGGAAGCAACAAATCAATGAGGGCCGTCCCTCAGAATGGGGCCGACCAACGGGACCTCCTGGAGGGGTTTTGTCTTCCTGGGCTTCTCCAGCTTTGGAGAGCTGCAACTCCTGCTTTTTGCCTTGTTCCTCTCTCTATATGTCATCACCCTGACCAGCAATGTCTTCATTATTGTAGTCATTCGGCTGGACAGCCATCTGCACACCCCCATGTACCTCTTCCTTTCCTTTCTATCCTTCTCCGAGACCTGCTACACTTTGGGCATCATCCCTAGGATGCTCTCTGGCCTGGCAATGGGGAACCAGACTATCTCCTATGTGGGCTGTGCTGCCCAGATGTTCTTCTCTGCCTCCTGGGCCTGTACCAACTGCTTCCTCCTGGCTGTCATGGGCTTCGACAGATATGTGGCCATCTGTTTTCCACTGCACTATGCCAGTCGCATGAATCCTGCCCTCTGTGGCCAGCTGATTGGTACCTCCTTCCTGAGTGGATATTTCTTTGGACTGGGAATGACGTTGGTAATTTTCCGCCTCTCATTCTGCAGCTCCCATGAGATCCAGCACTTTTTCTGTGATACCCCACCAGTACTGAGCCTAGCTTGTGGGGATACAGGACTGAGTGAGCTGGGGATCCTCATTCTCAGCCTTCTGGTCCTCCTGGTTTCCTTCTTCTTCATCACCATCTCCTACGCCTACATCCTGGCAGCGATCCTGAGGATCCCTTCTGCCGAGGGGCGGAAGAAGGCCTTCTCTACCTGCGCCTCACACTTCACCGTGGTCATTATTCACTATGGTTGTGCTTCCTTCATGTACCTGAGGCCCAAAGCCAGCTACTCCCTGGAGCGAGATCAGCTCATTGCTGTCACCTATACTGTGGTGACCCCTCTCCTCAACCCCATTGTATATAGTCTAAGGAATCGGGCTGTGCAGGCAGCTCTAAGAAATGCTTTCCAAGGGAGGCTGCTGGGTAAAGGGTGAAGGCTAGCCCATAGGGACACTCTCCCATGAAAAGGCTGGGCATGGATCAGGAACCCAGGCCAACAGGCCAGATACTCAGGGGCTCAGGCCAAAGCTGTCTCATTCTCAAGCCACTGGCACAACCCCATCTTGCCTCCTGCTCTTCCTCCAGGTAGTGGGATGCAGAAGCCTTTGTTAAAGGGCTGGACAGGATGCATCTTAGACTAAGGAAGGATTAACTTCCAAGCAGAGAAATATATTGACACTAAAGATTGTAACCGAGTGATAATATTCACATATTGGAAAGTGGGCTCTTTGTATACAATGCTAGCAGTTTTACACAAGGTGAAGGAATGATCTAAGAATTCTCACTGGTAAGTGACATCATCATCTTTCGCAAGTCAGATCAGAGTGTCAAAATTTAAACCTGTTCAGACCAAACCTGGCTTGAAAATTTTTGAAGGAAGCATCGCCTTTTCTTGCTTTTTCGTTTAATTCTTAACTTTATAAACAGTTGCACTGACTCTAATAGGAGAAAGAAATAAATTCAAGTATATATTCTTTATATCACATTAATATTTAAGAGGAAGTTCAGGCTCACTAAAATCCCCGACTCAAACATTATAAAAGGTATCCATGTAACAAAAACATTTGTATACCCTTAATCTTTTGAAATTTTAAAAAGAGGAAATGCAGGGGCTCGGAGGACAAGAAGGGGCCCCCCTATGTTGGGATCTTGCCATTCTGAGAGCAGTAACATCAGCTATGATGGTGATGTACGTAAAAGGGACAGATTGGGAAGAAAACAAGTGTTATGCTGATCTCTGTGGGGTTTCACTTTGCAGGCTAAAATACTGATATTCTGGGGAATGTGAAATATCTTTATTTTCATTTGCATTCAATACAATTGTAAGAATTGAAACATATCTTAAACCTCAAAAGAAATTATGTGTAGATGACCTTGGATGTTACTTATCTATTCTGTCATGACTCTTCTTTACAGTGTAATCAGCTGCCCTCTCCAGATGATGATAAAGTTCTCAGAAATACATTTAATTTAACTTTGTCCTATTTAAAAAATATTGCTTTTAAAATAAGAAGTACTTTATTTTATAATCATAACAAAACAAAATGATAAATAAATGCCAAACACACACACACACACAAAATAGAGACCTTGGTACCCTTCTGCAGCCACTAGTTGCATACTAAAAAAATCCCTAGCCTCCTGTCCTACTGCTCTTAACCCTTCTAGCCTGCCTCACCACCCAGTTAGAGGTTTTTCAGATCCTGCAATAAATGTAATAAACACACTCACACACACACACACACACACACAACTATTTTTTCATCTTCCACGTTTGCCCGTCCCTTTCATCTCCCAGGACCTCCCACCACACTAAGATTTTTTATCATCCATAGGAGCTGCTGATCCGTTGCCAAAGTAGGAATTGGTGAAGCCAACGTAGTCATAGCCAGCAGGATGGCTGCGGCCCCGTGGGTCCATGTACTGCTGCATATGTACGGTACAGAATGACACTTGCTCTGGGGTTAGGGCCTGAAAGGCATAGAAAAAGATACAGTGACAGGAATTCAAAACAGCTGGTCCCTTGGGGCTTCCCCTGTGCCATAAACGCAGGAGGAAGGGAGACTTTTGCAGGAGCAGCAAACCCTGCTCCAAGTCCACATCTTTCTCATAAATCATAATTTCTAACGAGCAAGACCAATGCATCTGTTCAACTTAGCTCTTTACTAAAGAAAAAAGCCCACTCCCCTTGACCATTCTGTGCGTCTCATTCCATGCACGTGGCTTACTGAATAGAAGGAGTAAGAAAGAGTCCTGAACACTGACTTGCAGATTTTGGATCAACTCTGATGTGCAGTAGAGAGCTACTGTAGGATTTTCGAGCTGGGTCTATAAGAAATGAAGTGGTGACTAATGCAAATGACATTCTGTACACTGGGAGGTATGAGGAAAGGAATGGGCAGGAGTGGGGGGCAGCCAGGGGGGGTCATAAAATGCAGACCAGGTGATCATAAGATGCAGACTGTGCAGAGGATTCGTGGGGAAGGTGACCAGAATCTGACCTGCTTCATGTCCTCTTTGGTAATGTAGGCCTTGCCCTCCGCCAGGGCTTGGAAAGCACTCTCTACGTCATCGCTGGACTTGATGTTCTCTGATTCCTTGTCAATCAGGAAGGAGGTGTAGTCCTCTAGTGTGACATAACCCTTCCTGTGGGGGAAATGGAGGAGGAGCTGTGCTCTCTCGGGTCACAGCAGGAGGAAGAGGGCCTCCTTATTCCACCCTCTGTGGACACTCATTGTGTCAGGGACAGAGGGAGGCCTGACTCTCTAGTGCCTCTTCCAGCTAGCTGACACTCTGGGTGATACTCCCCATTTGACCCTCTCCTCACGCTTTTACGGATAAATGATCACTGTTTACTAAGCTGCCGACTCTTGGGCCATTCATTCAGCCTGACTCTTCACATGGTTTTGGAATTTCCCATCAGCACCAGTCTCCTGATACCTCAAATAATTTCTGATCTTCTTTAGTCCTTGGTATTAGAAAGACTTTAGTCCCTAACAGCAACTTGAACCCTCTATTAATCCACCACACCCTGGAAAGCACACAATCTCCACCCACCCCTTCTGCTGGGCTCTGAATCATCCACGTCTTCTTAACACTTCCTATAGGGATTCTTTTCTCAAGTCTCACCCTCAGAAAAACCTGAAATTTAGGGATCAAACACAGATAATGAATTGGGCAAACTGCAGACCTAGTGCCTGTGTTGAAGTCAGTGCTGTTTACTTCTGAGTTAATCTGAAAGGTGTACCAAGCGTTGCCCACATCACCGTGGTTGCCTGTATCTTCCTGTCTTCAGATTTCATGTTATATGGATCATTTTTCTCTCTGTACATCTCCCAAAAAGCCTCAGTCCCTCCTGTCGTCTGACTCTGGGTATCCCTCCTACCTCCCTGGGTCCACAGCATTCAGGAACTTCTGGAACTTGGGCTCAGGTTCACCCTCCTCCACCATGGGCAGGTAGTAGTTAAGTCCTCGCAGGCAGGACCGGAATTCTTTGTGAGTCAAGCGTCCTGTCAAATTCTCATCAAAGTGCCTAAAGAATATAAAGGGTTATATCAAGCTCAATAGAGAACCAAACTGGAGCAGAAAGGAGCGCGCTTACTGCATCAGTCAGAGCTTTATTAACATCTCATAAAGCTGTCAGAGAACTGAGCACAGAGCCTGGCTGGGTCTCTTGTGCGTTTTTTATTTTTTAACCAAGTGGATAGAGGTAAAAAGATAAAACATTGAGAATGAAAGGAATGTTTTTTTGTTTTGTTTTGTTTTTTGAGATAGTGTTTCACTTTGTCATCCTCAGTAGAGTGCCATGGCATCATAGCTCACAGCAACCTCAAACTCTTGGGTTCAAGTGTTCCTCTTGCCTCAGCCTCCCAAGTAGCTGGGACTACAGGCACCCACCGCAACCCCTGGCTATTGTTTTTTTATTTTTTTTAGAGATGGGGTTCTGGCTCTTGCTCAGGCTGGTCATGAACTTGCAAGCTCAGGCAATCCACCTGCCTCAGCCTCCCAGAGTGCTAGGATTACAGGTGTGAGCCACCTCACCTGGCCAAGGAATGTATTTTTTTTTTTATTTTTGTTTTGAGACAGAGTCTCATTATGTTCCCCTCAGTGGAGAGCTGTGGCATTACAGCTCACGGCAACCTCAAACTCTTGGGCTTAAACCATTCTCTTGCCTCAGCCTCCCAAGTAGCTGGGTCTACAGGAGCCTGCCACAATGCCTGGCTTTTTTTTTTTTTTATTGTAGTTGTCATTGTTGTTTAGCAGGCCCAGGCCAGGCTCTAATCTGCCAGCCACGTTGCATGTGGCTGGCACCATAACCACTGAGCTATGGTTGCCAAGCCTAGAAATGTATTTTTTAGGAGCAAAAATTTCACAAGAATATTGTATTTAAATCTAGGACTGAAACTAATTAGTATATCCAGGTCTTCATTAAGATCCCACCAAGCCACACAGAGTGGCAAGAATAGTAGCTATTTGTAGACTCATTCTGAATGGTCTGGTAAACAGAAAGAGTGGTGAAATCATACTCACTTATAGATTGTGCTAAACTCTTTTAGTGTCTCTTCACTCACACCTATGGTGTCCCTGAAAGGAAAAGCATGAATTAACCTCTGTATATAAACCACAGGATAGGAGAGGCCATGCCACATAAAAGAAAGAGCAATCTTAATGGACAACTTACTAATTGAATAATCTAGTTCAGGGGTTGGCAAACTATGGTCCAGGGGCCAAATATAGCCTGCCACCTGCTTTTGTGCAGGCATGAACCAAGAGTGGGTTTTTTTTTTTTTTTACATTTTCATATGGTTGAATAAAATAAAAAGAATATATTTTATGAAACATGAAATTCAAATTTCAGTGCCCATAAATAAAGTTTTACTGGAACACAATCACGCTCATCAATTTCTGAATTATCTACGGCTGTCTTTTCATTAAAATAGCAGAGTTGAAAAGTTACAACAGAAACTATATGACTCACAGTCTAAATTATGTCTTATCAGGCCCTTGACAAGAAAAATGGTGCCAATCCCTGAGCTGGATAAAAATGTTGCCAAAAAGTTATTGAGACCAGGGCAGTGCCTGTGGCTCAAAGGAGTAGGGTGCCGGCCCCATGTACTGGAGGTGGCGGGTTCAAACTCAGCCCCAGCCAAAAACTGAAAGAAAAAAAAAGTTATTGAGACCTAAAGCTGCAATGATATAACTGATTTTTTTAGAAAGACTAGTTTCTATTTTTCTGTTCTATTCAGCCATATTTTGAATGTTTCTTCTATTCTGGATGTTATATTTTAGGTAAAGTTTTATAAAGGGGATTTTATTTTTTCTGGGATCACGTAAGGTGGGTAAGAGACTCTAAGAAATTGGATGCAAGAGTCGGTTGTTGCCCAGACAGGGTAGACTCAGGGCCATGAGGCACCCTTTTATTTTAGACAGAAGTCAGTATAAAGAGAAATAGTCATTTTGTGGGGCAGTACAAAGAGAACAGTGGTTTGAGAGAAGGTGGGTGCATTATCTCTGGAGCAGTTCTTGTGTCTAGCAGTGCATATCCTAGCCCTCAGTTAAGCCCCTAATACCTACCACCACCTGCCCTCCTGCCCTGCCCACAGCCCCCAGTACTTGGCCTGGATCTGCTGCTCCAGGTTGCGCTGCATCCGCGTCGCCAGCTGGTGGAGCTGGTCCCACTGCTGGGCCAGTCCAATGGTGCTGTACTTGATGTCGAGAACCAGAGCCTCTTCCAAGTTGTCCCCCAGGTCCTCGATCTTGGTCAGCTGACGCTTCATGGCCTGGATCTCCTTCTGCTTTCGCTGGAAAAAAGACAGAAAGGGCAGCTAGTTACCGAGGCCACCGGCTCCAAACTTTGAGGTGGGAGGGAATATAAAGGATGTTGATGAATTAGAATTTCCCTTAATTGCTCCTTTTCAATTATTTCTAGGGATCTTCTTGTCCTCTGCGAAAAATGAACTACTCAGAAAACCCCTTTACTTCTGTAAGTCCTCATTTATGAAACAGTGGGAAGTTTTTTTGAGATTATCCCTGTCATTTAAGTATTCAGTAGTATAGAAATCTAACAGTTAGCAGTTGTATTTATACTGCTAATATAAAACAGTGGAATGCGCCGGATCCACGCATTATGGGCACCACTGATATGTGCTGGGACTTGTCTGCACCACTAACCCTGGCTGAGTTCTCAGACTCCCTGAAGCTCCCCAGTGTTCAGTTCTAGACGTCCTTCATCAGCTTGGGCTGATGTGCATGGGCCACTCTTGTCATCTAGGTACAGTACACCCCAAATTTCTGCATCTTACCCATGCTTTCTCCTTAAGAGTATTCTGTCCCCCAAGGAGAGGAGGGGCAAATTGGTTCTGATGACAGTGGGATGCAGTGAAAACAACCTTAGAAATTACAAGTTTGTGGCACTCCAAAGGTCAAATCCATCTGACATTGCAATCTTTAGCATGTACTTGCTTTTGCTAGGGAGATATTAGATTTAATTATTTTTTTTCTCCTGGAGGAGGAATAATAAAAATAAAGTTGAGGAACACTGTTATAGCCCATTGCATCACTCAAGTGTCAGAAATTCTCTAGATTCAACTGCATCATCTTACCACAACAAATAATTACAGAAACGGCCAATGCTGCAGTTTGCAGGATAGGAAATTTTGTATTTGTTTCTTTCCTTAATCACTGTGGTAACTCTAAGGTGTACCTATTAACTCCTGCGTACAGATGCAGACATTGAAGTTCAGAGATATAAGTAAATGGAGACCCATATTCATGAAGTGGTGGCCTGTGGCTAAAATTCAAATTGATGGCAGGGCTGGGACCACAAGCTTGGCTTTTTGATGTTAGGTGATTTGGGCTTGAAAGTATCACCAGAGGTTTTTTTTTTTTTTTTTTAAATTCTTACACTCTTTATAATTCTGGCAATATCTTCAGCTAATGAATAAACATTCCTTACTTTATTTGCTTCCAACTGGGATTCCAGAGTTCCTGTTTCTTTGAGCAAAGATCTAGTTAAGAACAAAAAGAAAACATTACTCCTAATACATAATATCTGAGGTCAGTATTTAACACAGACATCAACTCACAGCCCCTCAGCATTTCTGCTGCTTTTTCTCCCAAGCTATATGGGCTCCATGCAATGAAGTCCCACAAAGTTAAATTTCATTCTTTATTTTTTGAGAAAGTGTCTCACTTTGTCATCCTTAGCAGAGTGCTATGGTGTCATAGCTCACAGAAACCTCAAATTCTTGGGCTTATGTGATTCTCTTGCCTCAGCCTCCACGTAGCTGGGACTACAGGCACCTGCCACAATGCCCAGCTCTTTTTAGAGCCAAGGTCTCGCTCCTGCTCAGGCTGCTCTTGAACTCATGAGCTCAGGAAACCCACCCACCTTGGCTTCCCAGAGTGTTAGGATTACAGGTGTGAGCCACTAGGCCTCCACAAAGTTAAATTTCCACAATCAAACCCTTCTGTCTGTTGGCAGCCTTGCCAGAATAATGAGTAGGGAAGGTTTCCCTACTTCTTCTCTATCTGGAAGAATAGTCTACATGTCCTTCCTAGTTCTTATTCTCAAGTACACACTAACACAATGTAGGCCAAGAGTCAGCCTACTGACGAGGAGGTGCAGAATGAAGTATGAAGTATGAGGTTCACCTTCTCACCCCACATTGTGTTTAAACACCATTATAATACTCACCTAATGTGTGCAATGCAAGGGTATATTTCAACATAACTAAGAGTGAATTTTAAATATCTTACCATAAAAAATAAGTGAGGTGAGGGTTATATTAATCAGTTTAATTTAAGCATTCCACATTGCATATCAAATCATAACACTGTATGGTTTGATACAAATCAAATGTATATCATTATGATTTTAATTACAAATTAAAGGAAAAAATAAATGCCATCATATTGTAATGGGATGAACAGCCCTCAGCAGTAAGACGGTCTTAATTGATTCTTTAAGAATACTACAACAACATAGACAGCATAAAATAAAATACTGACCCATCCAGAAAGTAAGCCCTGGACGTGGAGGTCAGGAACAGGAATCGGAAAAGAGAAAAGGGAAGTCATATGTTAACATGGAATAGTTCAAAGATTTTCTTATTTCTTGAGATTTATGAAATATCTGAATCAAAATGTGAACCTAACCACCCACTTCCCCCAAACCTGTCCCACTCTGGGAAGCTCAGAGCTTCCTGTGAAGTCAGAACAAAGAGCACAGGCGTCGGGCACATGCTGTGTGATGGGCACACGCTGTCAGGGTATGAAATGAGAGGCGAAGGAGGGTGCACTGTGTTTTCTCTGCCTTTTAAAAGATGTTTTTAAGACAGTATACAGGATTTCTTTTTGTTCTTTGTGTGATTTATCCTTGTTATTATGTAGAAATAGCATAAATCAAGGATTGTCTGACCATCACTCTTACCCTCCAAACACCACAATTCTGACCCACCTACTATATACTGTCTACCAGCTTTGATCATTTATTTT